CTACGCCGAGATCCAAATCGTTTATGTAGACCAAAAACAGAAGCGGTCCAAGGACCGAGCCTTGAGGGACACCGCTTGCGACTCCGACCTCCTCCGACGCTTCCCCATTTATCATCACCCGTTGCTCTCGTCCTGCCAACCAGCTACTGATCCACTCGCTCGTCCTACCCTGGATCCCGTGCGCCTCCAGTTTAACCCGCAACCTCTTGTGAGGAACGGTATCGAAAGCTTTCGCGAAATCTAAATAGACGATGTCCACGGGATTCCCCTTATCCCTCTCTTCCGTCGCCCAGACGTAGAATTCGAGCAAATTGGTGAGACAATTTCAACGCCTCCTGAAGCCGTGTTGAGAGTCCCGGATGAGCGCGTTTCCTTCGAGGAAATCCAAGAGGTGGTCCCTCAAGATCAACGGAATACTTGTGAGACTTACCGGTCTATAATTCCCCGGATTACTCTTTTCGCCCTTCTTAAAGATCGGTACGACGTTTGCTCGTCTCCAGTCCTTAGGTACTTCTCCGATATTGATTGAAGCGTTGAAAATAAGGGACAGTGGAGTGGCCAACTCCAAGGCGAACTCCTTGAAGATTTTAGACGGAGTGCCATCTGATCCGAGAGCAGAAAACCGCATAAATTTCTGGATGCATGGGTTGTTACTTCGAGAGCCGGGCCAGGAGGCAGGAAAGATGGGAGGTGGCTTCTATCCAGGGGAGGTGGGGTTGCACACAACGTCCAGAAAGATGCCGGTTGATAACATTAGCGGCCTTGGCAGGATCTAGGGTGGAGATGTCGGTAATCGAACTGAATATGGATGAGTCCTTGGTTAGACCGCAGAGGTTTGCAACTTGCCTGTGCCATTTTCTTTGGTCTGTTTTTCTCCGGCTTCCGACTTCGTTCGATAATGCTCTTTTTTAGCAATGGATATTTCCTTCTTCACCAAGATGACTAACCGGCGATATTTCTCATTTGATTCTCCATAGAATGCTGCTTGTCGCTTTTTGATCAAGTGCTTTATTACAGGGGTCATCCATGGCTTGTCTCTGGAACTGATACCGCACTTTTGTCAGGGGAAGTGTAAATCTATCCCCTTATTGAGTGTTCTTGGGAAGATCATTTCTTTGGTATTGGCGTCAATTGCAGCTGTTAGCTCACTCCAATCGAAATGCGTCAACCATCGTCCGAAACTTTGTAAAGCAGAGTTAGGGAAACGGCGAAATGTAAGAGATAATTTTCTTGGCAGGGGGGAAATACTGGTGGGGTTTGTACCATATTGCGTTATGGTTGCTGCTCCCTAGGGGCGGGAGGCGATCCAGGTCCTCGTACTACCGTCCCATATCTGTCAAAATGAGGTCGAAAGTTGCATTTTTAAGAGTAGGGCATCGAACAACTTGCTCCAGGCCAAAGTGCGTACAAATGACGTCCATTGGTAGTTTATTGAAATCACCAATTCGAAGGAACTTGTCGTTGAAGTGTTGGGAGCGGAATTGGTCTAATGCTGTGATGATGTGTTCAATCAAGGGATCTGTCATGGGGTTTCTAGGTGGGGCATAGATTCCGCAAATGAAGATGGTGTCAATCGCTCGAGGGAGCCACGAAGGTCTTAACTGGACCCATACTACTTCCACTTTTTCTGTGATGGAGATAGGTTCCAATTGTGAAGCAATCTCGTCTTTCACGATCACGCTGACTCCGCCACCTTTGGTCCAGGATCTCTTGTAGTGGTAACAAACACATCCTTCCACTTGGGCAATTGCATCATTTCCATCATTATCATGTAACCATGTTTCGGTCACCACAGAGATGAATGGTCTTAAGGTCCCCATTAGTGATTGCAGTTCATCAATCTTGTTAAATAATTACCTCGCATTTGCTACGTACATGCTTGGAATAAATTTTCGTTTCGTCTATTTCCCTGAGCGATTCCCCCTTCTCCTTTTCAGAAGACTGTGAACCCTGAAGGTATTGAAGAGATCATTATCAAGGCGACAGCTCGCCTGGTAGGGCTTCAGTTGGAACAGCTGCTTACGGGAAAAATGTGACATGTTAGCTAGACAAGCACGTGGTTCAAGGACACGCGTGGTGGAACGCTAGTTCCATCGGTATATACAATATGATGAACATAGTCCATGCCCAGGAAGTTCGACAGTTTTACTTTGCCTTAAATATGATTACATGTACTTTTGGAACGGAAATGCTATTATTAATGATAGGAGAATGAGATCCGGCGAATCTTCACAAACCTCGGGGTCGAGAGAGATATGTGCGAGAGGACGTTGTCAAGCTCCATATAGACCAAGGGGAAAACAGGATGATTAACGACAAGAGAAATAAAGGGAGGACGGAAATTAAGGGCGTTGCTTCGCTTCCGTTCGGAAATTGGCCCCCTGAGAAAAAAAATACTAGGTTACTAACAGCTCCGTGGCGGTGACATCGTGTAGTGAAAATGGGAGATACATTGTTGAAAGCTTCAAGATACGAGAATTTATTCAATGAGCTCCGATAGTGAACTTGACATTGCAGCTGTACAGAAAATAAATCTTAATTTATCCATGTTCATACTGGTGTCACCAGAGGTTCCAATGGTCCTCACAACTAGTCATTATTTTCCGTCTGGTTGCGTATTAGCACCAGATCATTTGCAAGTATAAAGGTATACCAGCTCCTGAAAGGAATAATGTCAAGAAATACTGTATGAGACATCCCATCGGTTTCAAGCGAAGCTATAGCATATCAAACATTTCTTGAGGTCACTGTCACCTCAGGGTCCCTGAAGGTTTAAGTATGGAAGAATGGGAAAAGAGGGGTACCCTTACAGGAAAATGTTATAGGATCCAACAAGAACCCAATAGGATCCCCATGAGGAACATAGAACATTTTTATGTTTAATAAATCTCATATGATCCTAAAGGATCTTTTCGCAAAGGTATCGTGCGGGGGTCGTGTGATAATGTGTGTTAGTTCCCTCAAATTTTTCATCCGAGGTCTACTTTTTAGGGACTTCTCTTATTGCTTACAAAAAAAGTCAACCAACATGACTATTCCTGTTTCATTCCCAGTGTCCCACCCGTCGATTCACTCACATGTGAGAGGCCTATGACGCTGGCAAAGCGCTGACTATAAAAGGAGTTGAGTGGATGCGAATCGACTCAGTCTCAGCTTGGCTTCAACACAACCATGTATTTCTCCCATACAACCCATCTCTCCTTTCCTTTCTTTCTTCTGTCTATCACATTTGGAACATTTGCTCAATCCCCATGCCCCGATCCCGAAAAAATTTTCCCATGTATATGTAACAACTTTCAAGTGAACTTTGATTACGCCTTTCATACCAAAGATTTCTCCCAATATGACACCCTCTCTGAAGCCAACTCTACCACAGATTATTACCAATATGAAGCCCTCAATGACGCCAACAATACCATCGATTACGTGAAGGTGGTCTGCTCAGTAGGAAATTCAAGTGCTGAAATCTTCTCAGTGTTCAACAATGCCACATGGCCCTCCAAGCAACTCACGTAAGTCAGGCAGTGGGTAACATGTACCAAATTCATTTTTCTGCAGCCCATTCGATTTCACATCATATTCCAATTTGAATGGGTTCTGTCACATGTTATATAGTGCTAGTATTTCAATTGGTAAAACATCCCAATTCATAAATTCTTAACGACAGACATTGAAACATTTTTGACAACCCAGGCAGTGGTTAGCCTGTTTTCCGGCTTGCAGGAAATGTTTTTCTCCCAATCCATTTCCTAACCATCAGTAGGACACTCGATCGCCCCATCCCTTCGTGAAAACATAGGCTAACGAATCATAATCTTGAAATCATACTAAATATTATCAGGAACGTTTCCGGACAAGTATGCATTATTTGCTTCATTTATTTCCCTTATATTGTGAATTCTTCATCTTAAAAAAGGATGTTCTTCCTTAAACCCCTTCAACGGGTATGTCGTTTACATCCGTCATGGTGAAATGGTCCTTACATGCGTTCGGTGTTTTTCTTGTCATGTTATATTTTGAGTTCGTGTTAAATAAGAAACAAACCTCCAAATAGGAGTATAAACTGGAAAAAGAGAGGAAAATTTATCATGCAAGCACCAGTTGTTATTCTCACGAAAATAATTCCTGACTCTGGNCAGGATGATTAACGACAAGAGAAATAAAGGGAGGACGGAAATTAAGGGCGTTGCTTCGCTTCCGTTCGGAAATTGGCCCCCTGAGAAAAAAAATACTAGGTTACTAACAGCTCCATGGCGGTGACATCGTGTAGTGAAAATGGGAGATACATTGTTGAAAGCTTCAAGATACGAGAATTTATTCAATGAGCTCCGATAGTGAACTTGACATTGCAGCTGTACAGAAAAAAAATCTTAATTTATCCATGTTCATACTGGTGTCACCAGAGGTTCCAATGGTCCTCACAACTAGTCATTATTTTCCGTCTGGTTGCGTATTAGCACCAGATCATTTGCAAGTATAAAGATATACCAGCTCCTGAAAGGAATATTGTCAAGAAATACTGTATGAGACATCCCATCGGTTTCAAGCGAAGCTATAGCATATCAAACATTTCTTGAGGTCACTGTCACCTCAGGGTCCCTGAAGGTTTAAGTATGGAAGAATGGGAAAAGAGGGGTTCCCTTACAGGAAAATCTTATAGGATCCAACAAGAACCCAATAGGATCCCCATGAGGAACATAGAACATTTTTATGTTTAATAAATCTCATATGATCCTAAAGGATCTTTTCGCAAAGGTATCGTGCGGCGGTCGTGTGATAATGTGTGTTAATGAACTCAAATTTATCTTCCGAGGTCTACTTTTTAGGAACTTCATTTTTGCTTACAAAAAAAGTCAAACAACAGGACTATTCCTGTCTCCCTCATTCACAGTGTCCTACGCGTCGATTCACTCACATGCGAGAAGTATGTGACGCTGGCGAAGCGCTGACTATAAAAGGAGTTGAATGGATGCGAATCGACTCAGTCTCAGCTTGGCTTCAACACAACCATGTATTTCTCCCATACAACCCATCTCTCCTTTCCTTTCTTTCTTCTGTCTATCACATTTGGAACATTTGCTCAATCCCCATGCCCCGATCCCGAAAAAATTTTCCCATGTATATGTAACAACTTTCAAATGAACTTTGATTACGCCTTTCATACCAAAGATTTCTCCCAATATGACACCCTCTCTGAAGCCAACTCTACCACAGATTATTACCAATATGAAGCCCTCAATGACGCCAACAATACCATCGATTACGTGAAGGTGGTCTGCTCAGTAGGAAATTCAAGTGCTGAAATCTTCTCAGTGTTCAACAATGCCACATGGCCCTCCAAGCAACTCAAGTAAGTCAGGCAGTGGGTAACATGTACCAAATTCATTTTTCTGCAGCCCATTCGATTTCACATCATATTCCAATTTGAATGGGTTCTGCCACATGTTATATAGTGCTAGTATTTCAATTGGTAAAACATCCCAATTCATAAATTCTTAACGACAGACATTGAAACATTTTTGACAACCCAGGCAGTGGTTAGCCTGTTTTCCGGCTTGCAGGAAATGTTTTTCTCCCAATCCATTTCCTAACCATCAGTAGGACACTCGATCGCCCCATCCCTTCGTGAAAACATAGGCTAACGAATTGCTTGAAATCATACTAAATATTATCAGGAACGTTTCCGGACAAGTATGCATTATTTGCTTCATTTATTTCCCTTATATTGTGAATTCTTCATCTTAAAAAAGGACGTTCTTCTTTAAACCCCTTCAACGGGTATGTCGTTAACATCCGTCATGGTGAAATGGTCCTTACATGCGTTCGGTGTTTTTCTTGTCATGTTATATTTTGAGTTCGTGTTAAATAAGAAACAAACCTCCAAATAGGAGTATAAACTGGAAAAAGAGAGGAAAATTTATCATGCAAGCACCAGTTGTTATTCTCACGAAAATAATTCCTGACTCTGGCGGTAGAATTCTATCCTAGAAATTTTCCAATTAACGGTTAAACCTTATTTTCACGTATTCTAGAATATGAACATATTTCCACATATTCTAGCTGAGTTGTTGGTCAGCTTGTATTTAAATTATGAGGCGTCATACGTCTTATGAACTGTTTATCATGCTGCTCCAAATCCGACACGTCAGATATGTCTCCTTAGGCCAGACTTTGATGAGATTTGAAATTTGAAATACAATAAATGTATGTTTGTCCTCTCATGGCACATATTCCGACAGGCACATAATTTTCCTATGTTTTTGCTACTTCAAAAAAGAAAAAATGGATCACTAGCCTTGACAATGAGCGCCGAAGACGCGACCATAGGGTGTTTGTTTGACCGAACGCAAAAGAAACTCGCTAGTATATACCTAGGTATATATACCGGAATGAAATTAACATCTCCGAAAAGCGAGATTCAGCAATCTCCACAATCCCGGGGAGCTGGAGCTTCAAATTTGCTGGAGCGATTCTGTGTTTGAGACAGAAAGAATTATGCCAAATTTTGTTGTTGTTGATTCCCTCCGAGAGGAAGACAAGACGGTTGAATTTTAACGCTGGAAGGGGTTGAAGAAAGGTAATAGGCGCTACCAAACCCATTGATCATGTGCTGGGTCCAATGTCTCTCACCTCGAGAATTTGTTGTTACATATTTCTTTGAAAAGTACTTGGCATATACTTCATGTCGACATCAAATGCGAGAATAGCACTTAATTGTTTCATGAGATATGATCATTTGACGACAACAGCGCACAGGTAGCTCCACCTGAGAAATGTGCGAATCTAGTCCGATGTTATCCCGACCTATAAGATAAATTATTGCTGATTTTTTAATTGTTTAGGCGTTTTATTAATATTTTTAGTGTAAAGAAATTGCCATGAATATGTGTCCTTAAATCGATTCCTTTACGTTCATGCCGTTTTTCATCAAAATCTCAGAAGGTGCAGCTCACGCTTTGCGGGATTTGGTGGATATATCTACCAAATGTATCTACTTTGGTCTTCCAAATTTTTTTTTGGTATCGACAGACAGGGAAAGTGCGACATATGGACACAGACGGACTGCGCGGTACCATAAGTGGTCTTTTCTTTTCAGAAAAGGAGGCTCAGAAAAGGAGGAGAGAAGAACTTCGGACAACTAAATGAGTTCTCTACCGTAAAAAAATTCTGAATAGGGTATCGGAAACAGGGTTTCCGTGTAATGCTAGGAGTAGGGAATTCCGATTCATAGCGTAAACAAGTATCTTATTTCTTAACGTAAACATACTGTTCTGAAAAAAAAACCTCGGAATCCATCCCAACGACGAAAGCGAGGAATAGAAATTTCCTCTGATTTTCCGAAAAATTCCAATCCATAGTCGAAATCGAGTTTCCGTTCATGGAAGTAAACTGCCGTCTCATTCGAGTTTTCCTTAATTGCATTCATTATTCAAAATGGCTCCTTTCTATTCGAAGTACTGCATGATGAATGAAATTTAATTATCAATGTGCGATCCCCATTTATTAACCCGTTAGTATTCCGTGCTAAGTTCTATTCACTACGCGATTATTCAGTACCTCCTTTTAACCACCTACAGAAAAGATCGCGACCCATTCTCGTCTCTCTCTCTTCTCAAGGAGAGAGTATGAAAGACCATCGAGTCCTAAGTATTTATGATTTGATTGTCCAGGCGGTTCGTGCTGCCGGAAGCCAGGAAATGTAGATGATGTCAGTGAAGCAGGTCGTCCATTGTTTCAGAGCAGTTCCTCCCCCCAACGGAATAAAGAACCTGTGATGTTCTTAATTGCCCCCGTATCCGATTGGGAAATACACATAAAAATATCTTTATTCTTGAGAATGAAAACCGTTCATTTTTCGAACCATCACAGAGTCATATTTAAGGGGACATCAAAGGAGAGTGGGAGTCATCTATCATTCGGAATGGGAACTAAAGGTATCAGATGGCTTCCTCAAGATGCCATGACCGAAAGGTCCGGATTAGAACCCCTGCAGATGAATTGTTTTCAACCACAACAATGGGCGCCATTTTTCCTCCATGGTGCACAGCCCTCCATTCTCCTCTACTCATTTCTTCCTCAAATCGCTCCAATTCCCTCATGTCGGGCGCGATCGTAGAGAATAGATTCCATCTTCACATGACGAAATAAACAAACGAATGCTAGGGATTGCAATTTAATAAAGCCAGAGGCCAATTTCAAGGCAACTGAATCCCACCACGTTGGTTCATTCTGGGTCTCCAATGAATGTCTGAAGACTATATAGAATCTTTTATTCTTCCTTTATTTGTATCATGACTCAATTCCAAAGATTTTCACTCTCAATCTTAAAAAACAGTTCCAACTTACCAATTTCATCTTCTACAGGCACGCATCAAATCTCTGTTTCCTAGGAAATCGATTTTACATCCTATTTTACCTCTTGCAACAATGAGTCTGAGTCGAAAATGACACAAGCATCTATTTGAAATAATGGATGAAGATGATCTGCCCTTTGCCGTAATGTGTTGAATTATCCTTGACTATACTGCGACTTGCCTGATGACGTAAATAGAAAACGTATTTTTTAGCCAACTAACTTACGTATGTGCATTATGTGCATTCGTTGGTATGGTCAGAACTACATGCATTCCCTCCTGACATGAGATTTATTTTCGTGATCTCATTTAACCCCATCTTTTGCACCAATTGAAAAAAGCATTATTAATCAGTATTATGAAAATATTCAACTGGTTCATTGACTGAATTAGGTATGTGAAACTGATGGAAGCGATACAAGTTTCAAGGCCCATCTTCAAACTACAATGGTGCTTAAAAGAAGTCAGATATAGTCTAATTTAAAGACCTTGGGATATTTTTTTTAGAGCCAATGCACAATACCTCGTTTGTCAATCAGACAAGGAACTTCAAGCAAGGAGTGGCTTCAGATCCAAGTACGTAGTTGAATTTTCGAGTTTTTGACGGAAGCCTAAGAGTGAATAAGATGTGAAAACTACAAAAAGAGTTACGGTACAAATGATCACACTTATCTAGTAATATTTGGGTATTGGAGTATGTGCGATCAGTCCTCTTATGCCCGGGCTTAGCATATATAAAAATCCGAAATACACAAGTGGAAAGAACATAAAATCTTTGTCCCGATGCTACTCGTTCTTTACCATGATACAAAAAATGAAACTGTATTATGGAGTTCTGATCATACAAGGAAAGTTAAATGAGGTGCACCCAATTAGAAATAGAGTTGAATGAGGGTCCTAGGTAGCCTCTAGCCTAGGTAAAAAGTCCTGGAACACTAGAAAATGTTCTCAATGGTGCGTTCGTCCGGATCGCGCGAGATGGGAAGAGAGTATGAATTGGAGGATGCCATATGCGGCATTTCATGCGGAAGCCCATCAACAGTGTATTCGCGGTCAATGGCAGGCACGCTATCCGGTCTCCATAAATTTGATATTGCAAGTTTCTGCAGCGACTCCAGGGAGAAGGATTTGATTCACCGTTTATTTTCTTTCAGGGAGTTCGTTCTATTCGGCGGGAATATGGCGGAGGAATTCCCGGGAGGATATTTTGGGGGTGTCTCTTTCGAGAGAATCGCTATTATAAATTACGAAGTGGATACCATACATCTCTCCGCCCTAATTTCATCGCAAGACACACTGGAGGAGCTGAAAATCATGTTTAGCCATCTGAAGGAGTTTCCTTGGGATACCCTGCCTCTATTAACCAAACTCACGTCCCTCAAACTATATGGAAACGAATTGAAAGATATACGCATCCGAAGCGACAGTCTTCGGGAGCTAGATATTTCCAGTAATCAAATTGCAGCACTGAAATCTGGATGGTCTGCACCAAACTTGACCTCTCTCCGAATGGGTGAGCACAATCGAATGCGATGACGTAAATGAAAGCATGACAAAATGTGGAATCAACATACTAATTGTCTACCCCGTTCTATGCTAATGCGTTAGAGCACAAGTTACATTTGACATGCAAAAAACATTGCATGTGCGATCTGGTGAATATTTGCCCATTGTTACTTTGTTCAAATGGAATTGTATCACCCTGAAATCTTACTTTCTTAAAGTATACCAATCTCCATATTGCTTCTTTGGAAGCCTAGTGCACATATTCTTTTTCATCCTTGCGTCGGGATAAATTGAAAAAAACTTTCATTTGCAATGTTTTTCCTCGCCTCAGTCGTAAACACTTGTATGATGTAGTATGATTATGAATTTTGCATTTCTCATGATGCATAGATGGCAAGACATTTTTTTAAATTCTAGCCTCTTCTTTTATTAGGAAGGAAATACGAGGGGTGTTCAATGCATACCAAGACTTTTGTTTATGGAAGACAGAGTAACGTATGCAGAATAATTATTTTGCGAAAAATTTGTCTTCAGTGCTGTTAACCCATACCCAAAATCGGGTGTTTCCTGCTTTAATGTATTTGCTGAAATCAAGATGGTGGTAAATGAGATAATAAAGAAAGTGGGACAGCGTATTCGATGGTGGTTAAAATTTCACCAGGAAATTTCAACAACGAAGAAACGTATATTGATTTTTTTTTATTTTAAAAGGATTTACCTTCATAGTTTTGGAAACCCTTTTAAAGATTACATGCTTCATGCTTTAATAAATGTGCTGAACATCCTGATGACGGATGTTGAGGGAAGAAAGAAGGTGGAATCGACAAAAAATTCTGGCCTACGAGAACATCGAATCTTTTCACTTTTACAATTGTCTCAGTGTAATGACGAATGCCCTTAAGAAGAAACTCTTCCGTCGCTCAAAATGAGATCCTCAAATCACTTAATGTTCACGTTATTGAAATAAGTTGGTGGTCTTGCAGCGTAAGCTTAATTCTGCACGTATTCACACCCACATTTAAATGATATCAACCATGCCAATATGNCGTCGCTCAAAATGAGATCCTCAAATCACTTAATGTTCACGTTATTGAAATAAGTTGGTGGTCTTGCAGCGTAAGCTTAATTCTGCACGTATTCACACCCACATTTAAATGATTTCAACCATACCAATATGGATGATACAAATACGACAGGCAGTCACCACCATACAGTGACGGCAATTTCCTACGAATGTCAAAAGGTTGTATATGATCATTGGCCATAAATTTCATAATGAATAGCTGTTCAACATTCTCTGTTACCTCAACTTCTCGCCATCTTGATTTTCAGCACATGTATGAAAGCAAGAAACACGCGATTGGAAGTATGACCTAACAACACTGAGAACTCAAATTCTACCAAATTTATTAACCTGCATACGTTACTCTACATTGTATAAGCAAAGTCCTCGTAGACCTTGAACGATGCTCGTATTTATTTCCCAGAGGCATCCCAAACTATTGGAACCTCTCCATCAAGATTATCTCATAAATTTTCCGCGTAATGCTCTAATGATATGGATGATACTTATTTGATACATTTGCATCTGGTGCAGATATGAATCCAATCTCTGAGATTCCCCACGGGTTCTTGGATGGCTTGGGGAACTTGCAGGAATTCCATTGTTTTGAATGTCACCTGGGGCCGACTCTGTTCAAGGGTTCTCTGGGATTCCACAGTGAAATCGTGACATACATTGGACTTAGCTGGAACGACATCTCAAACATCGAAGAAGGCGCTATTACAGGTAAATTACTATCTAACTTCGCTTTGGGAGGATTTTAAAATCCATTCCCATATTTCAATCATAGCTGAAGTAATTTTTCAGAAGGTACTTCACATGAAGTTATGTGACACGTTCCCTCTATGTCTGTCCTAGGTGTCACACCAGAAACGTTTGTTGGTCTTGATGGCAACAAAATCGCAGACTTGACGGAAGCTACCTTCCGCCCGATCCTGGAGGTTCTTCAACGTGGATTTGGATCGCTGTCAGTTATGGGTTGGTTTTATGATCTTGTCATCTGTGATCCTTTCAGTTATTTCCTTTTCCCACAGTGAAAAATAATCATTTTTCGTCTTCTGTCCACTATAGGTAACCCCATCATATGCGGATGTAGAATTGCTTGGCTCGTGCGTAATCCATTATTACAGAGAAATATTTTCGGCTACTGCCAGGATGGCAGTTTCTTTGAAGCCTTGGATCCCCATATTTTCGAACAGTTCTGCATCGAAAGACATCCCCCATGCCAGGCAATTTCTTCACCTTGACCACTCAAAATTTTCATGAATAATAAAGCGACTTTGATTGTGTTCTAATAACCTGGCGTTTGTTTCATTGAAAAGATCAGGGAAGCTGAATACATTTGGGTGAAACAGGAATACATAAAAAATCATCTTCGTCAGCTCCATTTTGGACTTTTCTCATCCTTTTAGCTGAATTATCGTGCAATATCAGCATGGAGGATACACAATTTCAAAGTATCAAAGTATCAACGACAAGAGTTATCCATGTATTTAAAAAAATATTATAGATATGGAAAGGACGCAAATGAATTCAACTCCATCGATGAGGTCGAACAGTTGATCTCATGAAAGTGTTACAAAGATAACAATAGGAGTGTGAAGTCAGAACAACGATGAAAAAGTGGATAAAGAACGATGCTTTCGATACAATTGACATTCTGGCAACCGTAATTTTCAGTAAGGTGTGAGTATCAAGAGGAGATATTGGGGGAATGGCCTTGTCGCTTGTGCAACCTACACTTACATCAATTTAGGACTTTGGGAAAATTTGGATTTGTGGAAAATATTTGGTGGAAAAAACGATGACACCAACAATAAGTGCGATCATTGCCATATACATTGTATTCCATTTACATTGCATTTCTTTTTTTTAAACGTGGACTGGGACGGACAAACACAGACAAGGACAATTGCCACAAGCGGCAACAATGAGTAGAGGAAAGGGAGTTCTTCATGGAACATCCCAGACGGCATTGCCCCAACTTCCCCCACTTCTGTCATAATATATCCCGTTTTCACGGGCCCCGGGAAGGCGGTGGCTACTTCGATGCCATAGGCCCTCCATCGTTGCATATTGGGCCGCTAGGGCCGATGTGGCGGGTGCTATTTTGGTACACCGAGCCCCTACCTCTCACACAATGAATCAAAGAGTGGCCTATGCTTCAGCCCAAGGGAGAGCAGGTTGTACCCGAAAACAGCCGGGGAACTGTCGGCCCAGGAGAGTACCGTCTACTGCCGGTCGGATTCGAATCCGGACCTCCCTAATGCGCCCGGGCTCCTTATCCTCTGAGACACGGTGACGGGGTCTGGTCGCCAAATCAGCCAGAGGCCAGAGCATGACCATCTCAGATATTGCCGAAAATTTTTCATACGGCACCCTCTATGGCTCTAAGTAAGACTGCAAAAATTTGGCTTCGGGTATGGAGACGTTTTGCCACAATAATTCCTAAAATTTTGTGAAAGTTCAAAATTGGGCCATTGCTCATTTGGGCCGAAAAGTTTTCGGCCTAAATGAACACAGGAAATACCATTGTTCTTTGAAAAGGTTAGACTTCCAATGTTATTTCATGTGCTTTTTTTCCTCGTGGCGATACCAATTGATAAAACTTTGTCAAATTCACCAATTTTTGGCATGTGAAGAAATTTGCATAACGTCATTTTCATAATACCCCATCATCATGTTTATGGAATCTGCGGGAAAAGATTTAATGATTTGTGTCCCATTCTTGTCCTTATAAATTCCACTGAAGGAGATGTGATGGCTCGAAATCAGCAAAAATAACAAATTTGGGAAAAAAAACACACTGTTTTCAATAATTTGGTACCATTTTTCATGCGACTGAACACACTTGAAAATTTTGCAGAATGTCTGTCATTTACTTTAGCAAAAGGTGAAAACAATTTCAAAGTTAAAATTTTTCTTAAGGCATACCACGCATTTTTTCAGACCACACCTCGCAATTTCTATCATTGTTTCTAAGGCCAAAACCCATATAGTTTTTATTGTCAGTTCTTCAAAATATATTTTTTATAACTTCAATCAAAGGAAAGTATTGTGAATCCCTCTTTCATCTGCATTCTTCGACCCCTTTTCTTGCAGTAGAAATGGTATCTTAAATTATAAATGAAGAGGTTCATTATGGTGTTCATTGGTGTAGGTTCATTGGGGTTTGCTGCGTTCGTTAAGGTCGAAACTTGTCGGCTTGCATGAGCATGAAGAGGTGCCCCTTTTTCAAGTTTCACAAAATTAAAGGTTTTATTTTGTCAGAACTGCTCCATACCTGAAGCCAAAATGTTGTAGTCTAAACTTTGGCCATGAGGGGTACCACACAAAAAATTTTCGTGAATATCGGTGAGGGTCATGCTCCGGCCTCTGGCTGATTTGATTCAGATGTTAGAAACCAATGAGCTAGGTCGATGAATTGGAAGCCTAACCGAAGTATTAAATAGTCATAGGCAACAGGCTTTGCCACAAAAAGCCCCATTGTTCGATACGGGCTCAAAAAGGAATGTGCCAAGAATGCAGCCAGTTTTTATGGACGAAACCGGTCTAAACCTAGAGTTTTGTCGAAGTAAAGTTTCGTCTGTAAGTGGCTGGGGTGATCAGTGGCCCGGATAATGGTTAATAGTCGACATATTCTGCTTATAACATCAATTTTTTCAATACATGGAAGAACACTGAAACTAAATGTAATACATTCCGAACATTACATAAACACTGCAATGTTTACCGGACGTGCATGGTAACAGAAAAAGATGCAAGCCTAATGTTGCACTGATACACCTTTGGAGGTTTTATATTTGCAGCGCATACATTAATTAGAAAAAATGATTGTTGTCTTTTTTAGGGCTTCCTTCATGGCTCAAGGTTCAAGGTAGTCAGTGACATCAAGAGGCGATTTCGATATCACATGTCAAGGTCGACTGTTCGTTAGTTTTAGGGTTGGCCTATTCTTCTTAAAGCTAAATATTTTTGTATTTTCTTTTAGCGTAACCTAGTTGCTTACTGCCTAATCCCTATCTTCAATATTTCCCTCCACCTTTTTCCCTGTCCATAAAAGCATCCAGTTTCTTCTTATAAATAGTCACAGAAGGGACTTCGTTATCTAACGCATTCCACACGTTCACCACTCTGCAAGCGAAGAATTTCTGTCTCGAATGGAGTCGCACCTGCGCTTTGCGCAACCTAAATTGGTTACCTCCCGTTCCCTTGTTTCCATCGAACTGGGAAAACCTACCAGAGATAATTCTCTGAATTTTCAGGTATTTTTTAAATTGAAGAATAGCTTTCAAACAAAAAAATTACTTGGCTGCTTCAGGTCATTATCCCTACTACCATGTTTTTGAAGCATATGCTCTGTCATTTCCCTGTTTCTCATTGGACCAGTCAGAGAGGTTCTTCAAAAGAATGCAGGAACCTGTCAATTTTGGTATGAGAACTTGATCCAACCCCAGGCTTTGATTGGTAATAAACCTTCAGTTCAGTTGCAGTTTGCTTCTAGGGCTAGCTCAAGTTATGGTTTAACGGTAGTTCCAATGTACGAGGGGCGTTTATAAAGTTCCGCGTATTTTGTTTTTCACTACAAAGGCTGATCAAAACCTACCGCAAAGTTGGTCACACATGTTCAGGCTTGTCGTAAACACGACTGCAAAATACAGGGTGACCCACTTATCTAGGACCGAATTTGTTTTTTTTTAATAACTTTCGCAATTTACTTTCAATATCAATGGAATTTGGCGAGATTATGTACACAACATTATAATTATGTTGTATTAATTTTTTAAAAATAATATAGTAATTGTTCGATGCCCTACGCAATTCACAAACGTGCTAAAGTTGCAGCATGGTTTAAATGCACGAAAAGTGTCCTTACGGTTCAACGAAAGTTTCGATCTGATTTCGGTCGTGACCCACCAACGAAGAATAGCATTCACAAGTGGCACAGAGCTTTGATGGATACGTGTTCCGTTCAAGACGTCAGAAAGAAAAGGAGTCGATCAGCTCATTCTGTTGAAAATTCCGACCGTGTTGAATAACACTTCATCGAGAATCCACATTCATCTGCACGTAGTGCTGCTAATGCTTTATTAGCAGGATAACGATTCAGAGGATTTTAAAGGATTGAAAGTAGCACCCGTACAAAATTCAGATCGTTCAGAAAATCACATATGAAGACGAAGAAAATCGACTAGAATTTGCAAAGGACGAACTAGAGAGAATAACCGAAAATCCTGACCATCTGAAAAGCCTGTTTTTTTCAGATGAAGCCGATTTCCATCTGGATGGTGGCGTTCATCGCCATAATCACTTGTTATTGGGCACCAGAGAACCCGCATTAGATTGTGGAAGAGTCATTAGATTCACCACGGACGACAGTTTGGGCTGCCATTTGGGAACGGGGCGTCATTGGACCTTTTTTTCGACGAAACTGTTAACAGCGCACGATACCTTGAAATGTTGCAGACGCAGTTTTATCCGGAATCGGAAGCTCGTCAAATCCACAAGGAGGTGATATTCATGTTCGATGGGGCACCTCCACACTGGGGACGAATGGTTAGTAATTGGCTCAACGAGAAGTTTCCCGATCGTTGGATGGGTCGGGGATCGGCAGTGATGCCATGGTCCCCACGCTCCCCCGATTTAACGCCTTGTGATTTCTTTCTTTGAGGGTTTATCAAATCTAAAGTTTACACCACGAGACCAGCCAACATACAATACTTGAGAAATCGAATTGTTGAAGCATTCAATGAAATAATTGATGAAATGAAAATTAAAAGATAACTGGGATGTCGGGAACGTTTGTGCAGAATTGTGGAACGAAATGGTAATCACGTTGTTCATTGTTAATAAATTTTATGAATGAAATTTTGTGAGAATAAAATCTGATATATTGACTGCATCGTAACAAAATTACTATTCATTTAAATGACAATTTATGAAGTTATAGAAAGATGAAACCGGTCATAGATATGGGGGCCACAATCTAATATATATAGACGATCATGACTGACTGACTGACGCTAATTCTAACCAT